CTTTCACTACTCTGCCCCCCCTCCCACCTCAGCAGTAAACTAGGGTTGGGCCAACAAGCTGGGAGGGTACACAGCCAGGACAGTTAACCCAAACTGACCAAAGGGATATTCCATACTGTACAACCTCATGCTTAGCAACAAAAACTGGGGTGTTAGAAGGACTTTGTGGAGACAGGGGTTTTACTTCCAAGGTGTCTGCTGCTCAGAGACCAGCAGGGCAGTGATCTGCTTGTAGGAGGTAGTGAGTGATTGATTGCCTTTGCATCATTTGTTCCCTCCCTCCACCCTTTCTTTCACAAGTGTTCTCACTTTTGCTGTTGCTATTCTCTCCCTGGACAAGGGGGACCCAGCTGCCTGGCTGATAGCCAGCATCAATCCATGACACTCAATGTAAGCATCATAGGTCTGGCTCAGACTTGGGAGATTTGCATAAAATATCTCATTGTCAAAGGATCTTATGTACCAGTTCGTTCAGAATTTTTTGGACAAAGACTATCTGAATGAATCAGCATGCACACAGTAAGCCTGCACATTCATGTTTCTACCCCTTTATGAGCACTTTTGTTTCCATACATTCATTTCTGTTACCTGGCTTGGTTTTGCTCTGTGGCTGTTATCCTTACTGAAAACCGAAACAAAGTGCATATTTATTTTGGGGACCTTACTTAAATCATCCTTAATCTCAAGCACACCTTCATTGTACACAACTTCTGCCTTCTTACACAAAAAAAAAAAAAAAAAAAAAAGTAAGAAGTTTTTACTATTTGACAGTCATTACTATGGCTAATTCAGCTTGACACCTTTCCAGCTTTATTTCTACTCCAACACAGCATTCTCTGTGAATTTGTCTCCCCCATTCCCCAGTGCCTGCAGACTCTGCCATCTCTAACTGCAAAGGCACTTATTCACTCAGATAAACCTGGGCACCACATCTCCAATTTTTTTCCTTTAAGGGCACAGGTTTCTCTTAATTCTATTATTCTTATTTTTAACAACCTCCAGGTCTTTTTCCCATTCAGCCTCTGGGCTCTGCAGTTCAACCCGTTTTATTAAAATAGGCCCATTTGTGAGTTCTTTTTGAAAACCTCAAAGGTGTATTCAGTCTCCTGTTTCATCTGGGCTTAGTTACAAATACTCAACATTGAGACCCACATCTCTAATAATGCCCTCATGACTTAACAAAACTGATATCCAGAATTTCTGCTATAGCAACTACTTCATGAAGAAATCTTTCATGCAGAACATGCAGGAATGTTTGGGCCCTGTTAGTAGAATTTTAATTTCCCAGCTGTGAACTGCAGAATAAGTCTCTGCAATGTTCTTCGTAGTTCTCTCTAACAAATTGCACATCTATATCCAAACCCAAGGATTTAAATTCCTAGATTACCACAGGAGATTTAATTTACTAGCCTTCTCTTCCCCTAGATTTTATTCCAAAGAAATTATTTTCAATCTGTGCTGTCCTTTCTTCTTTCCTTCCCTTTTATCATTTAATGACTATTTGGTGCTATTCCACCATTTAGGTTCATTTTTATCATTCCCGAGTATGCTGTTATACCCAAATTCCAAACATATCTGCCACCTGACCATGTTTCTGCTCTCTCTAAATTTAGTTCCACATCTGTAACCAATACTTCAGACTCCTCTGTCATGGTGCCTGTTGCTTTGCATTTATGCATAGATATTTCAGTTTCTCCTACTGACCGCAGGAACTCCCATTTGAGGATCCCAGCTCTTACTGACTGCCTGGCTTTGGAGACCTTTGGCCCACATCAGTCTCATATTAAGCATAACTGTGTTCAGAGACAGACTTGCACCCTAGCTCCTTGGTAGAGCTCGCTCATGGTC